TTGTTTTTCACTATAATGGCCCTAAAGATAAAAATGATGAGATGCTGAATTCTACCCAAACGGATTACAGGAACTAAACTCCACCGTGCCAAACACATTAGTGACAGGTCTGCACTTATCTTTGTGCTCTATATGAATGCAGGTCAGAGTATAAACCATACCAGTCATCTATATTCCTATAAATAACTTCAGTATCTGAAGATACCTTAACTGTCTACACCCTGCTTCATGGGATGCTTTTAAATATTTGTCTTGTGTGTCTGATCCATAAACATTCTTATCAATGGCCAAGCAGTCCTGAGCCCTTCCCCTCCCTAGGGTAACATTTTTCTCTTATCTCACAGAATAAAGCTAAATAAGATGCATCTTCTACCCACTTCTTAGCTTCTAAGCCTTTTAACTGTCGTTTCTAAATACCTTTTATAATCCAAAGAGAAACGAAGTGTAAATCCATTAAAAATAACTACTATGAACTACTGGTTCTTATACCTTCCTTCCTTCTCACAAGTGGCAAGGAATAAGAATTTCACTTGCATAGGCCTACAAATACTTCCAGGATGGCCCCTAATATTCATGAAGGGTTTACACTAGAGGTGTGCTGACACTATATTTACACGTACACAATATGCAATCTGGTTTTTATTGGCAATAAAGAAGTGTTATAGATTGGGGCTTTGACAGTTAAGCAGTGATGCACAGCTGCCAGTTTTATTCATCTGTTATCTGCAAGTCCAGTGTGGAAGACCAAAAGCTCAAAAAAAGATACCTAGACCAAAATACAGTTAAAAATACAATTATACTGACATACGCCAAATTACAGGCATGAAAATAACGTAATCCATGGACTCAGATAACAATGAAAAGTGGATTATATTGACTTTAATCACAGAAACACGCAACCCCAGCAACTTATAAAAGGATTAAGCAAAAATAGCTCATAATACAGAAGAGTAAAATTCTAATTGAGCACTGAAATAGGTAGCTTACGCTTATTAGCATTGACGATGCAATTTAACACAACCGCATTTCCATACCAGAGATCCATTTGTCACTATTACCACCACCACCTGGAAGCTGTGCTACTAGCCTCTCCCCCTCAAAAAACTGCTTCACTGTATTTAGGGGAGGGGTATTTCCCAACTGAATATTTTTAAATGGTTTGTTTTCATCACCATTGTGTGGAAATGCTATTATGAATTTTCATGCAAACTCTTGGCTCACTTTTTTTTTTTTTTTAAAGTATAAATTGTGTCTAACAAGAAACACACCAGGGATCTCTTCAATCCCCAAAGGCACTTTCTTAAAAGGAGAGAGAACAAAGGAGAAAACCTCCCAGCATGTGCTTTCGAAACCAGCTTCTTAGGACAGTATCAAGAATGACAATACCAGAACATAAGCTTTTCTTTTTCATTCTTTGATCCATGTATAATTGAATTGATTATTGCAAACTGTGTAATGATTTCCAAAAGACCTGCGTAGAAGGCAAAGATCACAACAATCTAATAACCAATTTAAAGAGATGTAAGAAATATTGAAGGAAATATTTAATCACTCAAGTATACTCCTTCCAATTAGAAAGAGCTTTAAATAGCTTACCTTGAGATAAATTAGAGTCTGTATGCAATTATACAGGAATAGTAATTAAGATCGGGAAAATTCACATATGCCTCAGCCTATAGAGTCAGGGAGGTAATTCACAGAAGAACAGACTTTTCAGTTACCTTGTTTCATCAACAGAAGTGAAAACATACTGGTTCAATTTATCCTAACCTTTGAGAGTACCAAAGAATTCAGTAACCTTGCAAGTCTGGGAACTGCAAAGTATGTTTGCTCTTATCTGATTATTTTTTTTCCAGTAGAACAAACATTCTCAAATGGGGCAAGAGACTGAAATACTCTTGATCGTGGTAAGAAAATACATTACAGGAAACGCTATTTCATGATTTAGAAGTCTATGAAAAATTATGGCAAGTAAGAATGACCACTACTTCTCTGGAGGAAGCAAGGACTTTAATTTTACTTTGTGCATTTGGCAATACCACCCGTCATATCACATACGCCAATTTACATGTGTGTACATTACCCTCATGTAACTCCATAGTTTCTTTACACAGGAAAGCAAGAAAGTTTTAGAAACTTGAGTAAGTTTTTCTGACAAACTTTATCTGTCAAGGCAACTGAGCTACTGTGCAACCATTACATTTGATTTTAGTTTTTTTAAAGGTCACTAACTGAAATCAATGCCGCTTGCTAATTAATCGGAGGAAAAACATGAAAAGTTTTTACCTAAGAAAATTAAAATAATGAAAGGAATTCACTGTTCATTCTTCAAATAGCAGAGTCTTAATCACAAACCTTCCCTTGGTTACCTTTCAGCGTTCAAAAAAACAAAGATTTTTAAAAGCACGTTTTCTGGGGATGTACCGCTACTTAAAAATATCCGCTGCACCCAACTACGATGTAACAGCTTTCCATTAGCCACATTTTTCCGAGGAGCACTCACCTCATCTAGTACCTAATAACTGAGCTGTACCACTTCTGGAAAACTGATATGTGACAGCTACAACTCTAAGCAGAAATTTCATGTCCCCCTTGTTTTTCCCTCTCCTTCCTGACAGAAAAGGACACACCCACACACCTCTTTCTCTTTGTACAGTCTAGAGGAAAAAAAAAAAAAAAAATTGCAGTCTTCAAAGTAAGAATTTATCAAGTAATTGTTTTCTTATGTAAATTGCCAAGCCCCCATAGCTACCAAAAAAAATCCGACAACTTTTCACAGAACGCAATGCTACCATCCTACAGTCCCAGCTTGCAAGTACCACTACATATCCTGAGCAGCAAAGCGAAATTGAAAATAAACTAGTCAGCTTGGCATTTACCCTTCAGATCCCTGAGGTGGCAACAGTATTTAAAAAAAAAAAAAAAAAAAAAAAAGAGAGAAATCATAATTTCTCTTGACCAGTTCTCAAGAAGTGGGTTTCAGAAAGAAATCAATAAAGAAGTCCAGGATGACAAGCAGACACAAAAAGACTTCTATGAAAGCTCTACCTGTAAAGCTGCAGAGAAAAGGAGAGGTCTCTACGCTACTCTCGCGCAGACCAACGGCACTCCAACACGTGCATACGTACCCAGAGCCCGGAGGCTCTGCGATGGCCAAGAGGAGAGGGTTCAGGTTTCAAAGCTCCTAAGATCAATAAATTGTCAATTTTCAGAGTAAAATCATGCCCTTCAGCACTCTCCCTTGACCACCATCCTGCCATCTTAACACACATCCAAAAAAAAAAAAAAAAAAAACAACAACACAACTTTATTCTCTAGCTCTCATTTCTTTTAATTCCATTTGAGTCAGTCTTGCTTATAAAGGTATCACAAAATCCCAAATTGGCTACTGCCCACCGAAAATTCTCTGAGTTAGTTACCAAAACACACTACTCTATTTGCCACGCTAAGATTAATGAAAGTTTAACACTGGAATCACATCTCAACCCTTAACCTCGTTATGTGGGAATCAGAATTTGGAAAAGAAAAAAAAAAAAAAAAAAAAAAAAAGGCTTGGGGACAACACAGCTCAAGAACTATGCTCTGCAGGACACCCAGAAAAACAAAGGACAGAGAAGGATTTAAAGGAGGGTCTATTTGTCCTGACCTGGAAGACAGAGACCCCCAAAAGCTGGAACGTGCAAAAGATTTTATACTTCCTTACATCCTGACAGCTCTTTAAGCATCTAAAAATAAAAGCACAAGAAGCCTTTGATACACAGAAAAACAAAATCTATCAAAACTCTAGGGAAAGACAAAATATTTCCCTAGACATACTTTACATATTCTGCAGTTTATGTTACACACTTAACATACTTCTGATTTGTGTCTTTCACTGTATTAACTTTAAAGTAGGAGACAGAAGCCCTCCTAATGAGTAACAACCCTACAACAACCGCAGTGAGATTCTCAAACTTTTAAATACACTGCCGGATACACAAGCCAGAGTTCGCACCCCCACACACCTTGCCAAAGTGACTGGAAAGTTTTGGGGTGGTTTTTTTTTTTTTTTCCCCCTGTTTTTTTTTTTTTTTTTTGGGGGGGGGGGGGGGGGGGGTGTGGGTGCATAGCGTGGATACCCCACCACCCGCAATTCCACCAGTACTATTCCTCAAAACACCCGAGGAGACGGGCGGCGCGGAGCTGCTCCCTCTCCTCCTCCCCGGGCAGAGTCCCACCTCACCCCCCCGCGCAGCTTCACCCACTCGGGGAGCTGTAACTTCGCTCGAGGGTGCTCCACAGCACCAGGCTGCGATGCGTTCCGCAGGATGACAGGGACAGCCGCAAGCTGAACACCTCCTAACTCCTCACCATCTGCCTGTGACGTCCTTTATTTACCGGGGGGGCAGCGGGGCGCGGCAAGCGGGGCTCTCCCGGCGGTGGGTGTCCCCGCGTCCCCCCCCCAGTTCGTTAGGATACGGCCGCCTGTCAACGGCGGGCAGCGCCGTTCCTCAGGGCTCCCTCCTCGCCCGGCGCCGCTGGCGGAGTCCCCTACAAACTTTGCGGGGAGCCCGGGGAACCGTCGTGTGTGTGTCCGTGTCCCCCCCCCCCGCTTTTCGGGGGCGGCCGAAACGCGCTGCCCGACGCCGGCAACTCCCGGGGGCTCCCCCGGCCGTCGCCGCCGCCCTCACCCCTGCGCCGGCCCGGCCCGAACCCACCCGCCCCCTCCACCGGCGCGGAAGGGAGCCCTCCCCGCTGCCGCCCGGCGTGGCTGCCCCGGCGGAGAGCGGGCGGGAGGCGAGGGGAGAACAGCTCCGCTCCGCTCCCCACCCCGCTCCGTCCCTCAGCCCCCGCTGCCGGCGGGGCGCCGCCACCGCCGCCGCCGCCACCCCGGGCAAGGCAACGCCGCGGAACGCCGGCAGCGGCTCGGTTCGCCCCCAGCGCGGAGGAGAAGCGCAGCCCCGGCGGCCCCGAAGGCGGCAGCGAGGGGCATCGCGAAGGGAATTGAAGCTGCGCTTTACCTTTAGTTCCGCACTGTCCGCCATCTTGCAACTCCGGGCGCAGGCGCAGTGAACCCCGCCGGGACACCGCCCCCCCGCCGCCCCCCCGCCGGCACGCAGCGCGCAGCGTTTGAATCGCGGCGCCATTTTGTCCCTCTTCTCCTCTCCGCTCCGCCGGGCGGAGGGCGGCCCGCAGGGTTCTCGGGCTCTTCGGCGGGGGATCTCCGAGCCTCTCTGAGGGCGGCGCGTCGCTGCCGCCCAGCTTGGAAAGTTTTTCCCCCCCCGACAGCGCGGCCCTCTCGGTTCTGCTTTCCCCGCCTATCGCTCCGTGAGGGGAGCGGGCCGTTGAGGGTGTCCGCGCCCCGGCTCTCCTCAGCCGCGCCGGGCGGGGTGCCGGGGGGCCCTCCGGAAGAGGATCACCGGAGGGAAGAGGTGGATGCGCATTCCTGTAGCAATAAGTTGATTAAAGTTGGAATTTTCAGCTCCGCTTCCTGCTGCTTAATCCGCAGATTTAGGTTCCTGAGGAGGGAGGCAGCAGGGGGTAGGCTGGGGTCCCTCAGCGGGCGCGGGGGTGCTCCGCTCGCCCGGCGGGAGCGATGGCGGGGCGGGCTGGCCGGGCTCCGGCTCCGGCCGAGCCGCTCCGCTGGGCCAGCGTCCTGCCCTCAGCCGCCCGCCGCCTCCTGATCTGTGCGAAGCGGGAAATTATAAGTTTTATTTCCCCGAGCTACTGCGGAGGAAGTTCAGGGAACCAGCGTGAGCTTTCCCGGGGTTTCCTCTTGCTTGGGAAAAGCAAGACAAGTGTTTGTAGGGAGGGCCTACAGAATCAGAGCTTTTAGATTGGAATTTGCCTGCGTCATGGCATTATTTGAGTGAAATGTGGGTTCTTGCAACAGCTGACCAGATAATGCTGAGTGGGGAAAATAAATATCAGAAATGCTACCTGGCAAGATTACTGCATAGGTTGTGAAGTTCATCGGCTTAAATACTGGCATGTAAGTCACACATCTTGAATCAGCCTCATTTTACCTGTGTGTTACTCTATAATTACAGATTGCTGTGACACTTTCTTCACTTGGCCTTTACTTAGTGCGTAGCAGGGAAGAAATTTGTTCAAGACGGCCAATATTCTACATCCATTTAAGTGAGAGAGAGATACAGAATTTGCTATTTTTCCATAGCTGCTATAAAATTCATCATCGTACATCCAGAAAGCACTTATATTATCTGCACTGCAAGACAAAAAAAGCATTAATGTCTCCACTTTACAGATTAAAGAAAGCATGCTTGAGGCCACACAGGGAATCAGCAGTAAAAAGATTACCACTCTTGATTATTACTGAATTATAATTTATGTCTCCCATAAGACCTGAATAGTTAGCCACAATTTAAAATAAGGTAGTTTCCATTGAGGGAGGAATGCGATAGTGGTATCAAATATCTTTCTAGCAGGTAGCTGTTTGAAACCATCCTGTTTATTAGGAAGAATATATATGAAACCCTGATTCTCTCAACAAAGGAAAGCAACCCACATCTCTTTCCAAACATTTCATTTCAAAGCATTTCACCCAGAAACATTCCCCATGTTGGTCTCAAGACCAGACTGACAGGAAACACAGGTGCATCTTTTGACTCCTCACTGGCATCCCTCTTTCTTCTCCAGGTCATTTGTACATCCCATTTCTATTGCAGATATGCCATGTATCCACTGTTCTCGTTGATTTCTTTTACAGTTCTCAGCGTTCAGCATCAGCATATCAAATGAAGCGTTCAGAAAATGAGGAGCAATTAGAAAAGGCTGATAAGTAATACTCCGGCTTAATACTGCATGTAATGAAGACTTATCATGGTGTCTAAAATGCTGGTTTGGGGAGGGGGCAGGGTGCTAGGCAAGATATCTAAAAAAATAAAAGTCAGATGACTACCCAGTACACCCACATGTACCATAATTAGCTGATCTATTTCAGTGGTCTGAACCAGCCCAGTTTAGAATACTTCGTTTCCAGTGACTGAATATGTTTAATAATCATGATCTATGAGTTTGTGTCTAGTTTAAAGAATTTGGCAAAAAGATCTATAATCGTATAAAGACAAATCCTTTTTTTTTTTTTGAACTGCCTTTTTTTTTTTTTTTTTTTTTTTTCCCCTAAAAGAGGCTTGCTACACAGCAAGCAGTTTTTCCTCTGCTTCTGTACTTCCTACCAAATTCAGTGGGATGTGGACATGTGCTTAAGTGCTTTGCTAAATCATGGCATAACACTATCAAACCTGACACATGGCCATAAACCACAGTGTCCTCTTTCAAAACTTGCTTTAAATAAAACAGGCTGAGAATGTCTTCAGATACATTAAAATAAGGAAGCAAACTAAAAGAGATGATACAGAATAGTCAATTCAAAATGGTTCAGCCTAAATACCATAAGTGTTTTTACAGGTGAAGCTAATAGAGGCCCTTTATTTTTCAGTTTGGACTTCTGATAGACACTTTCTTAATGCGGTGTGTACTTTAGTATGAAGAAGGAACTTAATGTGAAAAGCAATCTGTGCTTCTATTTTTAGACAATTATTTACATGTTAAGAAATTTTGTTCCTCTCTACTCCTGAGACTTGGTTGATGGTTTCTTTGCCAAGAAAAGACTTTGTCAACACGCAGTAATTTTCAAAGGTGCTCTCAGTTGCTCCAGCTCTGCTGCAGCAATGTCAGCGGTGGCAACACTCAGATCTGTCACAATTCTGTCTTCATTTCAACAGCGCGTGCCCGTCAAGTAGCGCAACTGGAGTGCAACTGGAGCAGGTGAGAACAACTCCAAAATAGTCTACCAGTTATCAATCACCTCTGTTTCTGAGCTAAAACTACAATATTTTTTCTTTTAACCTTTGGAGAGGGAAAGGCAGAGAGAAAGAGAAAGATCAGAGGGTTCCTCAACCATTCAAAGTTTCGGTATTTTCAATTCCCAATTTTCATAAGTTGATTTCCTCCTTTTTGCCATATTGCAGTAAAATAAATGACTTCCAGAGTCTACCTCCCACCCCCATTTCTTCTATTTTCCTATTCTGTTTCCACCCAAAAATTGTATCGTGTCACATAACTCACTTGCTTAAAACCATATTCAGACACAATAACATTTTTAAAACAGATACTCATTTTTTTTCTAACATGTTGTTTTCATTAGTCCAAGTCTCCAAGACTTTTCCTTCTTTGTCTAATAGTCCAAACTTACTCTCTGCTCAAAAGTAATGTGGGGGCCATTGTTGATCCTGAATATAACTTACTTAATGATAGATTCTCAATGGCTTTATTTCTTGATAGAGAAATGTGTCTAAGTCATTAAAAACATCTTTTATTCCTGAGATTGTTGGAGGGATAAAAAACATTTAGATGTGTTACTGAAATAGCCTTTTCTGGGAAAAAATAAAGTAATAGAGATATATTTCAGTGAAAATTACTTGGCTGTATGTGAAGAAAATGGAGTAGCCAGTATATCAGATAAAATAAGTCCATTTCATTATTTATAAGCAGTACACGTGGCTCAATATGCTGTAGAGTAAGTTCAGCAATGTTGAGTGACTGAGACTTGGCTGGTGCACACATCTCCCCATAAATTCACATCCAAGTGCAATATTATATTAAATCATATTATATCATATTACGTTACCATCACCTCTCAAATTTGGCCCAAAGCAAGGGCTGCCACTTGCTTAGAAAAGAAATAGTCCTCACGTCTTTGCTGCCTCTGTTATTAAAATTTACAGAGGAGGAGTTAATTGCCTAAAATCCTAAATTAGGGAATGATACTGGGCCATTTTGTTAATGTCATCCCTTTTATATCCTTAGACCTCCCGGTATAACAATGGTATTGCAATATGGAGATATGTAAATCAGTTACTATAATCTTTAATTACATATGCAGAATTTCAGCATGACACATCCGAGCTTCATTTGCGTATTTCCTGTTTTTTCAGTTCTTAAATATCAACTTGCCTTATTACTGTACACCTATGAGTGCAGTTTACAACACCAAGTACTCAGAGCCTACCACGGCCACGGTACAAACTCTTTCCCCATTACAATCTTTGCAAATCTTTCAAAATTTTAGTTGCACTCCTTGATATCTGAATGCCCTGTATATTATATTCCCTGCCTGGCATTAAGCATTCCAAGTCAAGCTCAGCTCCCTATGTACTTTACTGCCATACAAAGCGTTGCAGCTGCAAGACAATAGTAATAGGCACAACAATTAGCCCATTCTTTAAAATTATTTGCTTAGCCTTTTCCGCTCCGATACCGGTGGATGGTGCGTGCTTGCTCACAGCACTCCGCTAATGTTCTTAAGGCCTGTCCTTCGTAATTAAGTTAGGCTATACTTGGACCGAGTCAAATGAAGTCAACACTGGTGTCAAATGGAAACCACGTTTTCAGGCGAGGATGAGGAGAACGAGCTCTTCCCGCTTGCCTCCCCTGGGGATCCGCCTGCCACGGCCGCACGGATCGCAGCGACCGTTTGCTTTCTGCCCGGCCCCTTTTGGGTTTTGCACCTTTACAGGGCACAGGTGCTGGAAAAGGAAAGTGCCCGGATTACCTCCGAACCGGCCACCGGGGTATCATGCAAAATGCCTTGTTTAATTTTACACGTAACGCCGGTAGTCTCAACAGCAAAACTCATTTACACTAGAGGAGTTCTATGTCACGGGGAACTGATTTCTGTATTGAAACGAGGCGCACGTGGTGCAGGCAGTCCGACCTAAGAAAGAAGGTAACAGCATCCTACTGGCCTTGCAACATTTAGTTTAACTTACCTAAAATTAACTTCTGTAACTTTTACCCTGGGAAAATTGCCCCTGTTGCATGGACCTAGCTCCATACGTACCTTCGCTCACTTTTCTCTGGGCTTTTATTTGAATTGTTATCTTCATTTTTTTCAAATTAAAGCTAAAATAGTTTTTTTTCTCTGAGAAGAAATGGTCATTCCCGAGATATTCATCTACACTTTTAAAAGCATTTCCTTTGGCTGAGTTGAATCCAGATTTTTTTGTCAACAAAATTCCACTTCACTGAATCACAATTGGGATTTTTTTGTCATTAGCACC